TGTACCTCTCTACCTCTCTACCTCGGGAGGCTGTTACCTAATCCAGAGGGTCCGCGGTAGAAAGTTTGGTGCCTCTACTGTGCGGTGATACGATCCATGACCCTCTACAGAGCGCCGATATGGGCCAAGCGCGTATTGGCTACTTCCCGCTGCCGAGCTAAGCTCTTACAAGCGCAGCGGGTAGCAGTAATTGGAATCGTACGAGGTTTCCGCTCCATTTCGTCTGGGAATCGTCTGAACGCGATGTCCTGGTCAAAAAAATCGCACGAGACCTCAAAAAAATATTACTGCCATGCTGACCGGTGAGGAGAGCTGCGGTTAAGGCTCTGCTTTGATGAATCAGTCAGTCAGGGCATGTAATTTTGTTTGTATAGTTTACTATACTATAAACCTAACTATACTTATGCTGATGAGCAGTGCAAAAGATAACGTACTGCTTAGAGACTGTTAACACGCAGAGCAATCTGTTGTCTTATCTTCGGGCAGAGTTTGTTGAGGTATCCTACGGCCTTTCTACGCAGGTTATGTCTAAAGTGCTGCTATAATAATTTTTTTTCAAACATATACAGTCCATAGGTTATGACAAGGTATAGTCTATGACAACAGAGCGTCGGTATACCCAGAGTGCGAGATCTTTGATTTAAAAATTAAACTACAAAGCCGAAGAGATAATTGCATAACTGTATCACATATGGATAGGCTTGCATATGTAATACGGCATCCAAAATTTGTGAAGAAATAAACCTCTAGGATATTACATTCTCTAGGATATTAAAAAAACTGGTCTTTGATCTAGTGGTTAGTGACCCTGGTTGCTAAGACGGAGGTTGTTTGTTCGATTCCACACTGTTTAAATAATTATGTGATTATCTACCACATATATGTAGTTAGAAATACATAAGTATGTTTGTCAGCAGTCTGGCTACCATAATACAGCCTAGCCTAGTTTGAGACCAGATCGCCGTGGGTAACATGTGTAATGTTATTATTATTATATACAAATACACAAACCACGTGTCCGACTAAGGATGATGTTAGTAAAATACTTGAAGCTGTTTAGAAAATAGTTTTATTAACACTAAGCCGTTTATGGGTAGGTATGTTATAAAATACTTAACTATAGTTAAACCGCCGTAAGCTTGGCCCTCCTGATGGTTTGGGGGACGCGGGGCGGGGGTGCATTCAACCAATTAGCTAGTGCGTCGCTGTCCGCCGGCAGTGACTGACGTGAAAGCGTGCTGCACTGCAACACACGGTATTATTTTGCAACATGGGTCACAAAAAGATTTAAAAACTTGAAGTTCGTCTTGCAGAGGTTCTACTGTTAAAGTTCTAATAAAGAATATTTATTATTTTTTAAATTGTATCTGAATATAATTTACATGATGAAGATAAGGTGATTTTATTAAAATTATTTTACAGTATTAAATTTTACAATTAATCATAAAAACTTACAATACACTGACATTATAATGCATGGAAATAAATTCGATTTTTATTACATCGTGTGTAGATTAAATCTCAAACAAATAAATCTGAAGATATCGAGTTAGTACATCGTGTCATGTATAGCCGAGCGCATCACCCGCCCCGCGTCCCGCAAACCATCAGGAGGGCCAAGCTTACGGCGGTTTAACTATAGTATTACATCCTTATTAGCAAATGACTCTAACGCAAGAGGCTGCAATCGCTATTCAAATAACAATAATATTTATTTATTTAGCTAATGTATGTTAAAGTGTAGGATTTTTTTTAAGACAACTCCCGTACTTTTCCGCATGTCTTTTTATTTTTTTGGAAAACCGGCCTATACGAAATACGGCCGCCCACGTAATCCTGAAATGCCAGGAAGTGGCCACACAACGGGCAAGTGCCATACATGGTACAAAATCGCTCCTAGAAGCCTGTGAACATCCCAGGAGGCATCTTCGCTTCTGGAAGGAGCTTGGTTGGGACCTAGCTAACCTCTCCTAGAAGCATAAAGGACCACTCTCGAGTCTAAATGCGGCAATCGGAGACCACAACCAATACAAATACCAATACTTTACGCACTGATCGAGGAATCAATAATAACATATCAGCGCAGCATAAGTTATTAATACTTACGGAGATTAGATGCGTCCGTTCGTTCGTCCGTTTTATTTTTGACAATCGGTACAGCCACAGTTTGCATTAATCTCTCCGGCAATAAGAATGGCTAACACACAAATTGAACAACATAGGTATGCTCTCGGTAAATGCGCTCCAGCATACCGCAGATACTGAATGACGACACTGGCGTCACTGGGAGATATCTCACTCACGTCAATGTGACATAGGCTATTTTGAACTCTAGTTAGCTTGTCAACAGGAGAATTCTGTGGTCAGATGACGATAAGTGCAATTCGTTCTTGGCCTTGGCCCTCTAAATTACATTACTTTAAAAAATTAATAATATTAGAATTATCGTGTGTAATAATCCGTGTGGTGACGGATTAAGAATACAAATTGTCACCACCCTAATTCATCCCATGGGTGTCGTAAGAGCCGACTAAGGGAGCAAACTAAACAGGACAACAGCACTGCAAAGAGAAGGAAAACTTGAAACAAACCCTATACCAACCCGTCTGGCCAGCGTGGTATAGTAGGCCAAAACCTCCTTTCTAAGGAGAGGCCTATGTCCAGCAGTGGACTAGTATAGGCTGTTAATGATTAGAATTATCTTGCGTAATTAAGTTTCTGAAATTCGTATCAAGTTGTTTTTTCTATTGAAATTGTCTACTAACGTATACAATTATGTTTACGGGAATTAACGCCCTCACTATAAGTATTAAGTATTAAGCACGTATCTTCGGTATATCTGACTTCTAAAGTAGGTCAATGGTCACTGGGCATTCTTGTTAAGCCCTTTAAAAAGCTATGAAATTCATCGACTTATCGGTGCTAATCTTATAATCGTAGTACTCGTAATATAAAACCAACAACAATGATAAATCTGTTTGTTATCAATCTACTTCGTAATACCCGCTAAGACTGTTAGGTAATGAAGTAAGATATGATATTTGTATCACAGAGATAGAGATTTCCCTTTATATAGTAAACACAAATAATTAGACATATGTTTCATACTGGCGTTATAAAGCAGAGAAGCAGTATTTGAGCAGAGTACATATCAATGATTTCAAAAAGGTCAACTATAATAATATCTTCACACATCTCAGACGCGGCCCTCTGATAACAAACCAGGCAGGGCAGACCCTCTTCTATGGTAAGCAGACTGCTGAGAAACATACTTATATATTATACATCTAAGAACATACATCATCAGAATCTGCCTACCCATATCACAATTTTATTTGAGGTCAGAGCAGTATGTTTAATTCTTCCGTATTAGTCTATCATTCGTCATATCACGGTTTACTCCCTTCCTAGCCATATCCACTCTCACGCAGTCCATCCACCTTCTTCTTCCTTCTTTGGTCTTCTTCTTCTCTCGTACCCTTCAACTTCCATGACTAACACTTTCCTCGCAACATTTTCCTCACCTCTCAGCATGATAACTTTATAAATGTCTAAGTACATACATATCATAGATAAATTACACCCAGACACAAAAAAATTGGCGGTGCGCATCACATAATTATTGGTCCTGGGTGGGAATCGAACCTACGGTCTCTGGCTTCGCAGTCAGAGCCACTAACCACTAGACCAACAGGTCAGTAAAAAAAATGCTCTCAATGCACAATGTTCCCTAAAAACGTTGTTAATTCTAGTCTAGCTAATCTTCTTTAGAATTCTGTTTTCAGCTTTAGACAGACGCAGAATGGCTCTGATAATGATGACCAGTTTTAAATTTATGCATTTATTACGTTTCTGACCTAGCCTGGTCCTCTAATTTTTCTTGGTATAAGGGACAAACAAATAGACAGGTCACTTGATGAAGTAACTATCATCGCCCTTGGACACCTGCATTGACCGCCTTTAAGTGCAGTAATATTGGGCATGGGATTTGTAATATTGGTTTTGTGTGAGGCCGTGGCATCACTTCAGTCGTTTTTATCGAGGTGGGTCAAATACTACTACCTGGTATTCTTAGTAAACCCTCAAATCTCAGTAGAAACAAGAGTTTTATTCAAAAAGACAAGGCATACGATTGACTTGCATTGCAGATAACGGAAAATAAATAACAAAAAAGGACCACCAAGAACCATAGGAACGAAAGGCTAGTCTAAGGTTAAAGAATTTAATAAAGGAAATGATTAAATTTGTAAAGATTTTATTACATTAAATTAAAAATTTACACCTTTTTGTAAATGCTACTGTAATGCTAATAGGTATCGAGATCGGAGCACGCGTCATTATTTTTATTAATATTATTATTACAAATAAATTGTGAATTATAACTTTCGGACTATTTTATTAGTTTAAACAAATGGGATTATCCTTTTCCCAGAGGAGCAAACGAGTTTTGCATGCGTTATTATAAGCCACTGGAAACATATTCCATTTCTGTCGTAATTAAGTAAAACAAATATTATTTTCAGTATTTCTGAAGATTACAAATATCTTATAATACAGCTGAAACTTACTATTTTAGAGTAATGATCTACTTAAGACTTATTAGTAACATCTTTGACTATTGTTAATATACAATAAATTAAGTTACTTAACTAGGTTAAGATATGTGGTTTTGACAAACTCCATACAGTATCCACAATACATATCCGACATACCCTAGTACCGCCTTCGAACGGAATTGGCTGAAATCCAAGCACCTACTTGAGGATGTTGATGAAGACTCGCTGATAACTCAACCAACACAGAAAAGGCTGACACATACAAAGTGTCATGTTAATACTAATTTTGCACTTATACATATATTTAAAATCAGGCTTTTAAATTATTGATTGCACAGGTATCAAGATATATTAGTTAATAAATACAACCAACCTCCTGTTGCTTGTCTAACAGGCACAAAATACCATCACAATCTTTGAGAAACAATAGAATCTATTGACCCATTAAGTGGGCACAAAATTCACATATATGTCTTGAGCTGGGGTAAGTAAGACCCTGTTAGGATTAAATTTTATGGTGGTTACAGTATTCTTGGAAGTCTCCAAGCGAAACTTGAAGAGCACTTTTGCAACACACACGCCGAATTGAATTTTTCCTAGTTGTAAACCTGAAAAAACAGTATACATTAGTGTTGATCAATTTCGTCACAAGGTCAATCTAATTCTAATCAAAATTGAAAAGTGTGAAAATGAGACATCAAATACTATTAGTCATTGCTGGACTATGGAGAATTGACGCAAAGCCTACAAATTTATTCATAAAATTGTGTTTTCTGGACCCTAACCAATTGGTAATATAATGATAAAGTAATATGAACACTTTACGTTATTTAAGTTGTAAACAAATACGAGAGGAACTCCTATATACTATAGATAATGGGGCAGTTAAATGTTAAGGAGAAGTAAATTCGCAACCTTAATATTTTATAAAGTAATTTTAATATAGTTATATTTTATAATGTAATTATAGGATAAACTTACCTAAACAACTTCTACGTCCTACTCCAAAAGGCAGGAAAGCACACGAATGTCTGTCTCTAACATTCTCTGGTGAAAATCTCTCTGGGTAAAATTTCTCGGGATCTGGATAATATCTCTCGTCGTGATGAATTGCATACGGAGATACTGCAACCACCGTCCCCTGATTAATATTAACATTTGCTCCCTCTAACTTGATATCTCTGCTTACGTTCCTTATTAACCCATTTGTTAACGGGTACATTCGCAATATTTCGTCGAACACCATATTTAAATATTTCATTTCTTTAAGTGCTTCGTAAGACAATTTCCCATTATGTTTATCTAAAACCGTAGTTATTTCTTCTCGTAACTTTTCTTGCACATCGGGATTGCGAGCCAATTCGTACATTACGTACGTCACTGACAATGTAATATTTGCGTATCCGGCTGTAAAAAGCACCCAAGCTTGTGCAGCTTTTAGGGCCTTTGAACTGTCTGTTGGTAGCTCCTTATCGTTAACAAATTTTTGATTAACGTCATATATTTCACTTTCCTTATTCAAATTTAAAATAATATCCATCATAGATTTTCCCTCACTTTTGGTACTTGACTGTTGTTTCATACCAGTTTCAATAATCTGATGACAGAAGCTAATCGTTTCTTCAGGAAAAAGTGACAAATTAAATTTCTGTAAGAATCCAGGTATTAACATATCCATTTCGTTGTAATAAGTATTGTTAAACTTTTCATCAACAATTTCGAATAACCTCATATCGTTGTTAAATGTATCAATATTAAAACCGAAGGCAGCAGACATTATTGTCCCTATGCTGTATTTAAATACCAATTTATAAACATCCTGTTCGGGTTTCTTCATGGAAATATCTTCAATATAATCAACTAAATTATCACCACAAACTGCTAACCCACCATACATGGCCTTAATCTTAGTAGTTGTGAATGCTGAAGAGAATTGATGCCTTAGAAATTTCCACGTTTCAGCATCGGCATGGAACAAATTCTCTCCTAAGCCTTCTTTGCTAAAGTAAGTCGCACGATCGGAGAAAGCTTCAAAATCTTTAACTAAAACTTGTTTCGCTATGTCTAAATCACGTATTAGCAGAGTAGGCGATGTCATTCTGTATAGACCTACTACTTTTTCTTCAGGGTATTTTTTGTACATATCGTTATAGAATATTCCAACAAATTGTCTTCTTAATGCCACATCCTTAAAGTTTCCAAAAAATGGTATCGGTTTTGGTCCTTTTACATTCCTATTTCGCCAGTAGTTAAACGTTCTAGTGAAATAGTAATATGAAAGACTAAATATCACCGCGCACAATAGTAAGAAAGGAAACATATTGACAGTTATCACAGCACCTACTAATTTGTGATTAATGAATCGAATGGTAATTGGACGCCTTATATACAAATGCGGCATTTAAGATATAGAAGAGGCGCTAGACGCAGAAATAATTAGTTTAGAAAGGAAGTTAAAAAAAAATACATGGGTAAATTAGGTTAGACTTGTAAATACCGGTAAATGTGTATTACGTATTCCTTAATACTATAAAACTACAGTCAATCCATAGGTTGCTTACGAGAAATTGAGGAGTGAAATAATACCGTACATTGTAATCACAACACACATCGACAGCCTTTAATAGACCACTGCTGGACATTAGTCACTCCTTAAAAAGAAGGTTTTGGCCTGCCACGCTGGTCATACGGGTTGGTATAGGGTTTCCCCAGGAGCTGGCGGACCTCCGTGCGGCCTGTACACGTGCCCGGAGGTCCTACACGCGCAGTCGGCGGCGTCACCGTGGAGACGGTGAGGAGGACCGGCTTCATGAGGAGTACCGACGGGCGCGGAAAACTCTGAAGCTGGCCATTAGCCGCGCCAAAGAAGAAAAAAGACAGGAGATGCTGGAGGGTCTTAATCGTGACCCCTGGGGTCGCCCTTACCGCGCGGTGCGACAAAAGCTCCGCGCGTCGGGCCCCCCCCTTACGGAGACTCTCCAGCCCAGCTTCCTGCGAGAAGTGGTTGAGGGCCTTTTCCCGCAACGAGCGGAACACACTCCCCCGGCGATGGCCTCCTTGGCCGGAGACGACGGGGAGCACGGGGAGGAAAATGTTCCGCCCGTCCGGGATTCGGAGGTAGGGGCGGCTGTTCTACGGATCCGTTCCAAGAACACCGCCCCTGGGCCAGACGGGGTACCGGCCCGAGTGCTGGCCCTGGCCCTCAACCACTTGGCAGACCGCCTCGGGGAGGTGTTCGACGCTAGCTTGGCGTCGGGACGCTTCCCTGAGTGCTGGAAGAGCGGGAAGCTGGTCCTATTGAGGAAGCCGGGACGGCCTGCCGATTCGGTCGCGGCCTATAGGCCCATCGTGCTGCTGGACGAGGCGGGCAAATTGTTTGAGAGGGTTCTTTCTGCCCGCATCGTCCGGCACCTCTGCGAGGTGGGCCCCGATCTGTCGGACGCCCAATTTGGTTTTCGGGCGGGGCGTTCGACAGTTGACGCTGTGTTGCGCCTGAGGGCCGTGACCGAAGAGGCTGTGAGCTGTGGCGGCGTGCTGTTGGCGGTGTCATTGGACATCGCCAACGCATTCAATAGTCTGCCATTCAGCTGCATCAGGGAAGCACTCCACTATCATGGGGTGCCAAAGTACCTGAGGCGGCTGGTGGCAGACTATTTAGAGGAGCGTACCGTCGTGTACGAGGACCGAGAAGGTAATCTGAGGTGTCGGCCCATGTCGTGCGGTGTTCCACAGGGGTCTGTTCTTGGACCCCTCTTGTGGAACATAGGGTACGACTGGGCCCTTCGCGCCGATTTCCCCCCCGGGCTGGGTGTAATCTGTTACGCAGACGATACCCTCGTGACAGCCCGGGGGGCAAACTTCCAAGAGGCGGCGCGCCTGGCCACAGGGGGAGTCTCCCTGGTGGTCGGGCGCATTGAGGCGCTGGGCTTACGGGTGGCCCTAGATAAGACGGAGGCCCTGCTATTCCATGGGCCCCGTCGTGGTCCACCCCCTGGCGCCTCCATCGTGGTCAACTCGGTCCTCGTACCGGTTCGGGCCCAGATGAAATATCTGGGCCTGATCCTCGACGGGAGGTGGCTCTTCGACGAGCACTTCCGACAGCTTGCTCCAAAGCTGGTCGGCGCTGCGTCTGCCCTAGGGCGACTCTTGCCCAATATGGGTGGACCCAGCGTCGCGACAAGACGGCTGTACACGGGGGTTGTCCGGTCAATGGCACTGTACGGTGCACCGGTGTGGGCGGCGGCTCTGACCGCCCAGAATAGGGTACGCCTCTGGCGCCCTCAGAGGGTAATGGCGGTCAGAGCCATACGCGGTTACCGCACCGTTTCGACGGAGGTGGCATGCGCATTGGCCGGAACTCCCCCGTGGGATTTGGAGGCGGAAGTGCTCGCCGAAGTTTATCGGCGAGTGGCTGACTTCCGGGCGGAGAGCGGATTTCGCCCTCCGCCCGAGGATGTGCGCGAGTGGCGCGAAGCCGCTCGCCGAGCCACGATGGCTCGTTGGTCGTTCCGGCTGGAGACTCCACGCGCTGGCTTTGCCGCCGTGGAGGCTCTCCAGCCGGTCATCGCCGAGTGGGCAGGGCGGCAGCACGGGACCCTTTCCTTCCGGCTGACGCAGGTGCTTTCCGGGCATGGTTGCTTCGGAAAGTACCTGCACACGGTCGCTAGGAGGGAACTGAGTCCCGCCTGCCACCACTGCGACTGCAGTGAGGACTCGGCCCAGCACACGCTGGCGGTCTGCCCCGCATGGGCGGCGCAGCGCCGGGCCCTCACTGCAGTCATCGGAGTGGATCTCTCGCTACCGGCCGTAGTACGCTCCATGGCCGGTAGCGACAGTTGTTTTACCGCGGTCGCAACCTTCTGCGAGGTAGTAATCTCGCGGAAGGAGGCGGCGGAGAGGGCCCGGGAGGACGACCTCCACTCGGACCCGATCCGCTGCCGGCGAACCGGGCGGCGGAGGCCCGCCTACCACAGCCTCATGCCGCCCTGAGTGTGGCCGCGGGTGGACGGGGTGGGTTTCCCCTCCACCCGCATTAGTTGGCCAGCCGCGAGGGGGCGGCGTCCGCGTGTGCCGGACGTCGCCTATAGAGAGGAACAACACTGAGACGGAGCCCGCACCAGGAGCGGGCTGGCGCTAGGAGGGGTCCGGATGTCTTAACAACAGCTGTTCCCGGATCCCTCCTGTTACAGGCGCAGAGTGGCACACCGTGTGGTTTTAGTCGGTCCGAGTCCGACACACCACCCCGCCGCAAACCCCGGAGGGGTAACGGTCCGAGGGGATTTCCACACGTTAAAAAAAAAAAAAAAAAAGGGTTTGTATTAAGTTTTCCTTCTCTTTGCAGTGCTATTGTCCTGTGTAGTAACTCCCTTAGTCGTCTCTTACAACACCCCCGGGATGAATAGGGGTGGTAACACTCCGTATTCTTAATCCGTCACCACACGTACAGATTGTAATACTGTTTCTAAATATTATTTGCACACCTACTACCTACTAGCACCAACTACTAGTATGAGATGTTTTGATCAGTTATTGTCCATATCTCAGTGATATCTCAAGTCAAAAGACAGGCATACGAATACGCGATCCCTGCACTTTCTAGCTGTATCAGTCTTTCTTTTTTTCCACCCGAGACCTCCTTAATAATAATAATAATAAGCCTTTATTGCTGCAACTAAACAAAAAAAAGAATTACAATTAAACTAACTTATAAACTAACACATCTGTTTCCCGGTTTAGTGATCAGCGTGTCCTGTGACACATAGGCCTCTTCCAGCTGCTTCCACTCTTTTCTTTCTCTAGCTTTTCTTGACCAGGTAGCGTCTCCGACTTTCTTTATGTCATCCATCCATCTTTTTACCTGCCTGCCTCTTTTTCTTTTGCCATCGCGAGGTTGCCACTCCGTTATGATCTTAGTCCATTTTGTTCTGCTGTCTCTAGTCATATGTCCTGTCCATTTCCATTTCAACTGTCTTACTTTCTTTATAATATCTTCCACCTTGGTTATGGATCTTATTTTTTCTGATCTTATGCGGTCTTTTTTCGTATAGCCTACCATGCTCCTTTCCATACCCCTCTGGCACGTTCTCAGTTTTTGGAGATGTATTTGGTTTAGTGCCCAAGTTTGGCATCCATATGTCAGGCATGGCAAGACACACGAGTTGAACACTTTTTTCTTCGCTACCATGGGAAACTGCTCGCTTTTGAGAATCTCTTTAAGTGACCAATATCTATTCCACGCATTAGCTACTCTTCTTTCGATTTCTATTTTCGTCTGGTCTCTGAATGCAATCAGTTGACCTAGGTATGTATAGGTGTTCACATATTCAATATTTGTATCATCTAGTGTTATAGCTATTTCTTCCTTGTTCGTCATTACCTTTGTTTTTGATTTATTCATAGTCAGACCCACTATTCTGCTTGCCTCTGCCAACTGATTCAGCATATGTTGGAGCGTAGTTGCGTTGTCCGCGAATAAGGCTAGGTCATCCGCGAATCTCAAGTGGTTGAGTTTTTTGCCGTCTATATTTATGCCAACTTTTTCCCACTCTAGATCCCTGAATATACTTTCCAAGATTGCAGAGAAAAGTTTTGGGGATAGTGGGTCTCCTTGTCTTACACCTTTAGCTATTGGGAATTCTTCACCCGTTGTATCTAATTTTATTTGAGCAGTGCTTTTCTCATATATATTTTTTATAATACGTATGTATTTTTTAGGGACTCCTTGTTCGACTAAAGCCTTCCAAAGCGAGTCGTGATATATTGAGTCAAATGCTTTGCTATAATCCACAAATGCTATATATAACGCTTTACCGTACTCTGAACATTTTTCTATTAACTGTTTTAGGACATGCATATGATCGATAGTAGAAAATCCTGCTCTAAATCCTGCTTGCTCCATTGGTTGCTGCTGATCTAATAATCCTGTCAGTCTGTTTAAAATCAATTTAGAAAATACTTTATATATGTTTGACATTAAACTTATTGGTCTATAGTTTTCAATGTTGTCCCTTTCTCCTTTCTTGTGTAATAGTATGATTGTACTCTTAGTCCATTGTGATGGTATAAACTCTGTTCTTAGGATGGTATTATACATGTCTGTGAGTTTCCTTAGATTTTCAGGTATAGTTATTGCAATTTTTAACATCTCATTTGTTATCTGATCTGGGCCAGGTGCTTTATCATTTTTTTGACTCTTTATCGCTTTTTCTATTTCGGATTGAAGGAAATCTGGTGTATCTTCTATCTCGTTGTCTTCAAGATTTATAGTTGCCTTCTTGGTAATGGGTTCTGCTGCATAGAGTTTCCTGTAAAAATCAGTTGCTGTTTGGATTATGTTTCTTCTTTTTGTCTCCTGCTTTCCAATTTTATTTTTAATGTTTGGTATCCATTTTTTTGACTCTACTAGTTCTTTTAAGGCTTTTTTGACTCCTCCCGTCTTTTTTATATGGTTGTTGATAATATTTATTCTTCTTTTAGTTCTGTCTTTCTTAATACTGTTGCTTATTTTTTTACTAATTTCTGCGATGGCTTTTAGATTATGTCTATCTTTTTTCGTTTTTAAAAGTTGTTTTCTTTCTTCTAATAGAGTTTTAGTTTCATTTCCCGTATAACTTGTCTTAGGTTTCGTCAATTTATTGTGTGGCAGTCCAAATATTTCGTTTATTTCCTTATCATAATTTTCTACTATCTTGTCTTTTGCCTCTATTTGATGTTTTGTAATACTAGTTGTGACGTTATATTTGTTTCTGCTTTTTTTCGGTTCCGTACTATTTATTACTGCTCTGACCATTCTATGGTTGGTGTTAAAATTAAATTGGCTAAGGATGTTTACGTTCTGAAAAATTTTTCTGTTGTTAGCTGCTATATAATCTATTTCATTTTTGTATGATCCATCTGGAGATTGCCATGTCCATTTTTTCTTTGTATTTTTGTTGAAGTAGCTATTCATAAATGCGAGGTTGTTTTCAAAAGCCATGTTAATCATCCTCTCTCCATTTTTGCTTCTTCTGCCAAAACCGAATTTGCCAATTACATTTTCTTCTCCAATTAGCTGAGTTCCTATTCTGCCATTAAAATCTCCTATTACCATAACGTTCTTGTGCGTTTCTTGTAAGACTGATGACAATTGGTCGTAGAAGAGGTCTTTGGCCGATTCATCGTGCTGTTCAGTGGGAGCATAAACTTGAATAATGGACCATTTATTTTTGTACGCTGGCAGATGTATATTAAGTACAGCTATTCTCTCTGATATGCCTTTAAACTCTTCTATGTTTTTTTCTAAATATTTTTTAACCATAAAACCAACTCCATGGCTTCCTTTTGTTTCGCCTTTATAATATAAAATGTATTCATTATGATCTTCGATACTTTCTCCCAACCTTCTCACTTCGCTCAAACCTAGTATATCCCATTTAATCTTTGAAAGTGCCAATTCTAGTTCGGTTAGTCTCTCTTGAGTTCTCAGCGTAAGACAGTTTAGCGTGGCAATATAGAGCTTTCTTTTCTCTTTTCTTTGAGTTGTTTTTGCTTTTGTTTTAATTGTGTTTCTACTCAAGCAATTGTCATTTTCTGGTATTTCAGCTGAAAGGGATTGGTCAATATCCCCCACGGGGACCAGCCGGCTTGGGGGAGGTGTATTGATTTTAGTTGTTTCGTTAGTTGTTTTTTCTTTGTTTTTTCTGATCTTCCGGTTAACGATGTGTGCTAATGGCTATTCTTTATTTAATTCTGATGTTGAGTGAGATCTGTTTCTGTTTCTCATTCGTTCGAAGGCATTTATTCTATTTATTTTTGGTCGACCATTTTTATTACTGTTATTTGGAGAGTCAGATTGTTCTCTCTTCCGTTTGTCTCGAATATTCCCTTCTTTGTCTTTTACAACCAGCTTATCGTATTTTATGAATGCTATATGTCCCTTTTTTCTTTCTTCTTTTAGCTGGGGTATGAGTTCTCTTCTTTTTTCTAAAACTTCTTTACTGAAATCTTCATTAACAAATATATTTTTAGGTAGACTACTTTTGTTTTTCAAGATTTCATTTTTCTTCCAAACGTTCAAGATGTTCACTAGAATCGGGCGTGCTTCTCCTTTTGCCTTGCCAATTCTAAACGCTTTGTTAATATCACGCTTGTTGATTTCAATACCAGAATCGTTTAAAGTTTTTGTTACCATTTTAACTATGTTAGTGTTTTTTTCCTCTGTGGACTCCTCATAGCCATAGAAAATCAAATTATTCTCTCTTTTCCCATATTCCAGACGTTTCACCATCTCATTCAATTTCTCCACTTCATTTTTTAGATGGAGGTTTTCTTCCACTAATGGTTTCAATTTCAGGTCTATTTCTTCTCTGATAGAATCTTTTAATATAGTTGTTTGTTTTTCCATCTCTAGTTTTAGATTTGTAAAAAGCAGTTGCATTTGGTCTTCCATCTCGGGTAGTTTCGAGTTTCAGTGTTGCCAACACTGACTTAATTTGGTTCAAAATTATTTGTGGAGGTGACAACACTGATTTATTTTAGTAGAATATTATTTGTAAAAGTGGCAACACTTGTTCTCGGACTTGCATAGAACGAAACGTACGTTACGTTTTCTGTTGTTGGTAGCCTTGATGTGTCAATGTCAAATATTGTTTGTAGGTTATTATAACACAATAATTCTTGCTTTTAAATCGACATGCACTGAACACACACACAGTTTATATTTCAATTCTTGCAGATTTAGTCTTTAATGATCGTTTCACCTGCACAGTTTATAGTTTAACGTGGTTTTTTAATACTTCTAAGCTTATCTTTGCGGACAGCACTTCTTAACGTTTGTACAGTTGAGCGACCTAACCGGAAAAAAAGACCTCCTTAGCCTCCTCTAATTCCTTATCGAATTTTACCCTTTTTGTTAAGATTTGAAATGATCAATGAGAATCAAAGGAGGTAAGCGGCGAGCAAGAAACCGGCAAAAATTTATTGAAATGTTAAATATTACGTCTACCTCTAACGATGTCGGAAATAATAGCAAGATATTGAAGATCATGATAAATAATGATGCTATCTATGTCATCATATATAATAGATATGGCTTAGGACGATATCTTGACATCAACTTTAGGCTGCAGTCGTATCTTTAACTTACAAAAACATCATAATATTATTGTTATAGTTCTTGACTGATTTTATGCTGCTGCCTCCCGACCTAAGAATTGAGATAAAATAATCGTGTCACTTTCTTATTAGGTAGATACATATTTTATTGCTTTGGTATTAGTTTTTTGATCAAAGGTATATTAAATATTGTGCCTAATTGTGCGTTGCGTTGCGTACGTACGTACGTACGTGTGTGTTATATTTAACAAATCCTGTAGCTTTAACTTTTTAGTAGTTGTAAACAAATATTTGTGTTAATTAAGAAAATCGAAGTCTTTCAAATAATTATTTTGTTAAACGAAAATAATTATGGTCGAATTTTGCGCAGTAGACGAACATTTTTTGATATGACATGTTGTAATTGATTAATTATTTATTTATAGCAGCTCATCATCAACAGCCTTTTATAGTCCACTGCTGGATATAGGCCTCTCCTTAGAAAGGAGGTTATGGCCTACTATACCACGCTGGCCAGACGGGTTGGTATACGGCTTGTGTTAAGTTTTCCTTCTCTCTTTATTCGCAGTGCTATTGTCTTGCGTAGTTAGTTTCCTAAGTCGGCTCTTACGACACCCACGGTATGAATAGGGGGGTGACACTCTGTATTTTAAATCCGTCACCATTTAACTTTCTGCTTTGTATAATATACTCGTAGCTAAGTATAATACTGGACATAACGGGATTTACTTAATAGCCGGGCATAATTCCAGACGTTCGATACACGAGACATTGGAGATTATCAGCGTCATAAGTGCAATGCCGCCCTTTAAAATTCCCACTCCCCAGAATTAGAAGGGGGTTACTTCGGGGATCCCGGTACCCTATGGGGTACCGGTATCAAATCTCAAAAAGAAAATAGTTTTAGTTTCTCAATTTGTGTTATAGTAGAATGTGAAAATGACTAGTACAATGTTAAATTATCAATATATTGATCCACGAATTGTTGTCCACGAAGTTTGTATAGTTCCCCGCGACCCAGGAAATATTCCTAGTGCGGTAGGAGGTAGAGGTAGTTAGGAGTTATCTTTATAAATATAATATAAATATACTTGTTGATAAAGCCTCAAATACATGAAAAAATATTTATGAAAATGCTTTTCCTGGTGTAGCTGCGCATTTAAAAACAACATTTATTTTCAAGTCAACTTCATGTACATTTTTTCCATTATAATTATATTTATGTCAACCCTATCTACGCAATATTGACTTTATCGGCTAATCTTTAAGTTCAATTTATCAGACATAACATCGAATTTTTACTACTTGCTAGCGCTCTACGTCATACCTGGGGTAAACAACTGCATAACATGACTTTCTGCCACGAAAAGCGGTCATAAGCAATCCAGTCGTTGCTTTTCGCCGAGTGAGTAAGGTTACCGGCCCATCTAGCCCCTCCCCCCCCCCCTGTTTTTTTCCGTGCGGAAATCCCCTCGGATAACACCTATCGGTGGCATGTCGGACTCGAACTGACTAAAACCGCACGCCGTCTCGGTTACTAATAGCCGGGGAACCAGGTATGCCCTAGAAAGGAAGTCCCTAGTGCACCGACATACCTCGGGCCATCTACAACAACAGGTAGACGACCCCCCCCTTGTGGGAACCCCATGTTCCCTCTGCTCCCTGGAAGCGAGCGCGCTTCGCAACGCGCTCGCCGCCACCCCGGCCTGCTTCTGCTAGGGTGACAGATGGCCTCACCTGTCACCCCAAGGCCTGCGCTTATGGTGGACGGAGGTCGTTCTGCGACCTCCGGCGTCTGAGTCGTCTGCGGTACTTTGCCCGTTCCCGGGCCTGACGGGCCGGGAGAGTCCTAAACCTCTTCCGGTCCCGCTCCGCTTGCTAACATAACTTGCTCGCAGAAGGAGACGGCAGAGTTCCACGCACTCTCGCTCCGCACGATAGCCGCAATCAGGCTATCGAGCGAGAGAACTCCCACTCCGATGGCCGCCACGAGGTCTCGCCTCTGCTCAACCCACGCCGGGCACTCTGCCAGCAGTGGTGGCACTCAGGCGTTGGCTCCTTGCGGATCAGACACAGGTGATCAACGAAACATCCTTTCCCAGTAATCACCTGCGTCAGTCGGTATGAGAGGGTCCCGTGACGCCTCTCGAGCCAATCCTCCATAACGGGTCTTACCGCCGCGATGACGGCGTGCCCGGCGCTCGGTTACCCGAGTCGTTCCTTCCACTCCCCTATGATGACCTGGCGGAGTTGGGATTTCCGGTCATCGATTTCTCGAGTCTCGGGACACCGACCCAACTCCCGCGCCACCTTGCGCCACTTATACAGAGCCGCAAGGGCTCTCGCCTCCAGGTCCCCCCGCCCCCCCTATTTGACGAGCCTGTTGGTCTAGTAGTTATTGACCCTGACTTCTAAGCCGGATGTCGACTGTCGATGACGAGCCGGGTTCGACTCCCGAATATTCGTTATCTATCACCTTTGTTGCAATTCTGTAGATAGACTAATTGGTATAAAATGTGGCTTTCCCCATAATGAATATTCTGAGGAAAGACATTTTAATCCACCGATTTAAATATTTTTTTAACTTTCACAGTGATGCTCAATTAATCCCATCCCTTCTAAAATATCAATAATTCTGTCACTAAGACCTTTCTAACTTTCTCTGATCAATTTTCTATCTATCTTGCCTATCATAATTTAACTTTTTCCTTATACCTTTTCAGCTTTGAGTTCAGTCTCATGAAGTAGATACATGATGTGTTGGTTGGCCTAAAAATCCAAATATTAGTTCTCAGTGACTACAAGACTACAGAATTCTTCATGGTTGAAAAAAATCTATGCTTTTCGTTAACCATTTATTAATGGTTAACGAAAAGCATAGATTTTAATAACATAATGCCACTTTGTATGTGCAATTACAAACTTGTTATTAAACGCCGACATATTATGATAATTAAAAAGTTATTATTATAATATGAGGAAAGTTGTTTACTAAAAACCATCAAGATAAATAATTTAAATGGATATTTTTATTGACATTTTATTCATGTTAGCGGCACGGCTGTCTTTATCGAGCCAGATAGCACCTTTAGCGAAAATTAAATTTTAAATAAGCATCCCATCGTGCGATTTCTGATTACAATAATTATTGTATTTAAACTAAATCTGACAGAAGTAATTCATCACATCATCAACAAACATCTCCTTAGAATGGAGGTTTCAGGGGACAGAAGTAATTAGTCTTCATTTAATTCTATAAACGCCTACTCGTTTACTATTAGACCTAAATCACCAATATAAAGTTTAGTTTCAGAATGATTCGGTTATATACTTAAAACTCATGATTCTCTTCTCACGTAAGAAAGTGAGAGTGGGTAAACTATAATTAAAAATATATTCTGTAGCTAGATAAAATCAATGGCAATAATAAATATTTAAACATTTTTATTCATTCGTGAGATAATTTGTCTAATCTACTCTGTGTCACTATTTAATTAATGTTTTGTTTGAATTCTGTCACTCAAAATATACATCAATTTAGAAAATTAAATTTTCTGTGCAAAATTATTGATGAAGAGTTTTATGAAAACTGAGATAATTAAGTTAATACCCAGACGATTTCTTATAACTCTAAGATAACAAAATTAAATACAGTAACGTAACTATCTAATCAAATGCCGAAAAAACTATGTATCAAATAGGTGGATCCAAAGACACCGGTATCATTACGAAAAGTTTAAACGTCAGACGAGCCCCGTATACCTAATTAGACGTATGATTTATGATCGGCGAAGTGGCAGCAATTATTGTGGGCCGATTAAGAACACTGCGTCGTTAGAGTCAAGCTGATAGGGGCTGCTGGATTTTGATTTCTGATGGATAGTGTCATATTTAACCTCTCATAATACTCCTTCAAGACATGTCTTGTTCTTATCTAGTGGGAGGTTGACAGATGGATCTTTCGTGACAGAAGCGAATGTGGATTCTGCTAGGGTAAGAGGACAGCCTCACCAATGGGCTAGTTGACTCAATTTGAAAACTTGGTATATAGTTTAGTATCTATTTTATCCCAAAAACTCTATATTTTAAAGAAAAAGCAATATTTACATTACGTATTTTGCATTTAAAAAAAAAAAAAAAATCCATTGTAAACGCTAAATAGTGTCATGGCGTCTTGAATGACGTCACAGTCTGCGAAATAAAACTGTTTCCATCTGTGTCCGGTATCAACTGAAACTGTATTAAGGTGAGAGAATATGCTAAAAACGAAAAACAATGAGGAGTAACCTA